TTCGGGTGTGATAATTCCTCCGCTAGCCAGGCTAGGGTATTCCTCACCTCCTGTACTCCGCGTACTCCGTTTAGTGTCTCTAGCGGATGCGACGAAACTTTATTAGTGGGCATGTAGTAACCCTTATACAACCTATACATCGTTACCCGTATGATAATGCCAGTAGCAATCGTTACACAAACCCTTACAGTAAACCTTGTGATCACCAAGAGTAAGCCTTGCAGCAATCCTTGTAGCAACCCTGTGTTCTGAGGTCCTTCCTCCTGTCCCAAGCCCTAAACCCAAAGCCCTAAACCCTCAATCCTAAACGCCTGCTCCTAAACCCTAAGCCCTAAAATTCTAAACCCTACACCCTACACCCCTAAACCCGTGAATCCCAAACCCTAAACCCCAAAGCCTAAACCCTTAAGCCCAGGATACATAGAACGTGTCTGTTCTCACCGTGCATGGCCATATAGATTCCTGTATCATTGCGTTGCTTTCACGGTTCGACGGACAGAATACTTGGAGGGTCGGGGGAGCTTAGCAACTGAAAATAGACTTATAAGTACTATAACCCCAATTAGGGTCCCGTTTAGGGTACTTAGAAGTCTATTTGTGGGTTTCAGAAAATAGGGGACCCTAATATAGTACCCTAAATAGTAGGATCCTTATTATAAGGACCCCCAAATAGGATACCCTAGTTTTCGGAAACTCCCATTTATTACCTACTTACTGAGTCTCCTGGGCCTCCAAGTAGAAGCACAGAGACGAAACTTCCGGAAATAAACGCATTTCCGCGCCCGCGTAGACATGCAAAAGCGAAGGGTTTAGGGTTTAGGGTTTGGAGTTTGGGGTTTGGGGTTTAGGGTTTAGGGTTTAGGGTTGAGGGCAGCAAAGTTTCAAAGGATAACAGAGTTTTGAAGAGCAAAGCGAAGGGTGAAGCCCGCCCAAAATTCTGGACTTGAAAACTCAACAGTTTCTATAAACCGTAAACCCTAAAAATCCAAAATCCTAAGCCCTAAAACCCTAAACCCGAAACACTTCCCTCCCATTTTCACGGCCAGCCAGGTCGGTCGGCTGAGAATCTCTGCCGTCGTGTGGTGATCTCCAATGCCTTCGCAGCCAAGAAATCACAGGAGGGTTTAGGGTTCAGGGTTTAGGGTTTAGGGTCATCAATGGTACCCCATTCTGCCCGGAGTCCTGAATCACACAGCTTCCAGCCCTGAACCCAGATAACCTCCAAACACTCAACCCCCAGAACGAATCCCTAAACCCTCAACCCGAAGCCCTACAAGCTGCCGAGACCTTAAGCCCTGAACCGGAAAAGACGTCCGAAGCTAATATATTGGCCTTAATAATTTGAATAGGGTTTTGTGTCCTTTATAGTATAATTATAATAAGGACCCCCCAAAATAGTATCAGTAATTATTTAGGCCCCAATATTACCCCAACTTTCACCCAGCAGGATGCTCGGTCAGTCGAGTTGACGGAAGTGCCTCCCAGCTGCCAAGTAACTGGCAATTCTATGGGTAGTTCTCTAAATTAGGGTCCCCTTTTAGGTCCTCAACATAGTACGGCACCCTTATAAAAAGGACCCTCAAAGGGACCCTGATTTAGGAAACTACCCATATTAGTACTAAAGCAGCTAAAGTCAGAATAAAATCATAGAGTGCTTGGGGTTTGAGGGTCAAGGGTCGAGGGTTTAGGATTTAGGGCTTGCATCCGGACTAGGAATTTGGGCTCGTGAGACTTTGAGCAAAAGGATTGAGGATTCAGGTTAAATGGGTCAGACGAAGATTTCGGATTGGGGTGTACTTGGAGGTGCATGGGCAGTTATAAGTGGGGTTACAAGTCCCCGAAGATGGGGTATAGTTGGACTACGTATAACCACACTTTTCATTACCCTTGAGTTTCCAAGTCGGGTCTTGTGACGTTGAGTGTTAAACTACAACAGCGGGGGAGGTCCCTGCAGGCGGCGTAGAGAAGTTTCAGGATTGCTATGTCTTGAGCCTTAGGGGCCTCTTACGTTTCCCAACCATCGAAACCCTAAACCCTAAACCCTAAACTGACCCTAAACCCTAAACTCAAACCCTAAACCCTAAATTTTTGGAATCTCGTGTCGAGTCTAGGCGCCAAACCCTAGAAGCAGAGTCGCAACGGCAGCCTTGTAGACCCGACACGTTCAAGTCCTAACGCTGTTGGCTGGGGGTTTACGGTTGGGGGTTTAGATTTTAGTGTTTGGGTTTAGGGTTTGGGTTTGGGGTTTGGGATTAGCTTTCTTCTTGTCTGTTTTCGATGCATCTTCCGAACATGAGAGAGTTGTAACCCTTGTAAAAAACACTCCAAATGAGAACGCTCATTTAAAGAACCCATGAAACCCTGCCCCTTTGGAACTCATATCGTAGGCCCCTCTAAATCAGAGACTAAACCCTAAACCCTAAACCTTAAACCCTACACCCTAAACCCTAAACCCCTAAACCTGAGCTTCGAGCCGAGGGTGGTTGCGAGCTACGAGAGCCGCCCCTCCATGCAGAAAGATCTTCAGGCTGAGGCGGAGTTTTGGGGATTAGGGTTTAGGGTTTAGGGATCTTCAGGCTGAGGCGGAATTTTGGGATTCTGCCTTTTGAGGTGGCTTAGTTTT